TATTTCCTTCCCTTTGGGCCTTTGTCATACATTGTATCTCACATTTCGGCCCTGGCAAATTGAGAGGTATGGGAACCAAGGGCTTTCTGCAATTTAAAAAGGAAGATTAAAAAGGGACAAAATCTGAGGGTATTTTATACCAATGTTTGATTGTAGCGAAAGTGAGGATTAGCCTCCCTGTTTGCCTTTCACAAAGGCAGAGCTGTTGGTGATACTGCTTTTGCAGAAGGGAGGGGGGAACAGAGCCCAAACCTTCTGTGGCAGTTGGGAGCGGGCAGCAGCAGGGGAGGGGCAGTTGGGAGATGGGATGGGAAGGTTCTGCAGCAGTTGGGAGCAGGCAGCACCAGGCAAAAGGCAGTTGGGAGACGGGACCGGAAGGTTCTGTGGCAGTTGGGAGTGCGTAAGTGGCAGACATAATCATCTAGGCGTATTTTTATTGATATAAAGGGGAAACAATTTGATTCCCAGATCAGAGGCGTGAAAGGGGGAAAGTATTGAAGCGGTGTTTAAATGCCTTCCCTTGCTCTTCTCCCTCTGGAGTAATGACTAAAGGCAACTATTTCCCTCCAGAAGCAGAAAAAGTTGCTGCAGTTTAAAAGGGAGAGAAAAAAGGGATAAAATCTCTGGGGACATTAGGTTAATATGAGATAATTAACTCAAAAGTGAGCAGTCCCCCCCTGCTGTGCAACAGACGAGGGCTGCAGGGAGCCCTGGGTGACATGGGCAGGGAAGGGAGATGGCACCAGAAGGTTCCACAGCAGTTGGCATGGAGCGGGGGAGGGACAGGTGGTTGGCAGAGGGAGAGCTGCGGTAATGAGTCAGGATTACAGTTTCCCTCCAACTCAAGGCCATGTTTCTGCAATTAAAAAGGATGAGAAACCCCCAGAATTGAGAGGATTTTCATAGTAATGTAAAATATCACTATTCCATAATTACACAGAAAATACCCAATTTGGATGAGATTGGATATTTAGGGGTGTAATTTAAGGGGTTTTTAATATCAACAGTCACTAATTAGAGAGAAAAGGGGAAATCTGAGGGATTTGATCTATATCTGATAATTAGCGAGAGAAAAGGACAGTAGCAGAGGAGATTATTGTGGCTATCAAATAATGTTCAACAGTTACACACAAATGGCAACAGGTGAGGAGAACATTAATATTTTCCCATCAAGATTTGATATTCAGAGGGAAAAAGGGATGAAATCCCAAATTTTATACTAATACTCAAAAAGCAAATTTAAAGTGTTTGTTTCCTCCTGCTCCCCAGCCCTGCCCTTTATGTGGGCAGCAGGGGGTTCTGGACGGCATCCAATGACCCAAGCACGGAGAGGAGGATGGAGATGGAAGTTTCTTAGGCAGTTGTAAGGGGCAGCAGCAGGGATGGTGCCTGGGTAATGGAGTTTGGATGGGCAGGAGGCTGTGTACTGCTTTGGGGTGGCGGAGTTTTATTTACATAAATGGAGTAAAACACTTTGATTCCCAAACATGCACAGAGTAGTTGACTGAAAAGAGGTTTAATTCCCTCCCACACCAACCCCCTTCCATCTTGGGTAACCAGGAAGTTACCCCAGTTAAAAAATGGAGAGAAAAAAGGAGAAAATCTGATGGGATTTTATGTTCAATAAAAAAAATAGAAAGCAATTATCTCCCACTGGCTTGAAACTGACATGGGCAGCAGAGAGCCTTGGTGATGGTGCTGTAACATGGGAAGGGAGGATGGAGCCAGAAGATGCTGGGTATTTGCGTAACAGATGGGAACAGAGAGCTGCCAGGGCTGCAGTAGAGCACAGGCACTATTTCTCCATGTGTTGGGGACCCAGCTCCTGGAGTCACACAATTACAGCAACCACTGCTTTCCTGGTGGAAAAAGAGTCCATTTCTAGCTCTCACAGTTGCAAAGAAAAGCTTGAAAATATGACCCGAGTGTAACTGAGGCTGCCTGAGTGTAGTAAGCCTGGGACACTTGCTCTGAGAGAGGGAGCTGCCCCCTCTCTGCTGCCAAGCTCTCCCCAACAGAGGGCTCTGAGTGTGGCAGGAGGGGAAGTGCACAGCAGTCCACCCACCAAGCAGGTACAACCTGGCTGATAAGGAAGCCCCCCTACTCCATTCTTCCCTATTGTGTCCCAGCTTCTCCAGAACGCCACCCGCATTGCACTAAATGGTGGGTAGACACAGCAGCACCTCAATGTTTTGCTGCACCTTGATTCCAAGATTGCCTTAATCCAGCCCTAACAACAACAGGGAATGGGAAGGTGATTGGCAGCTGGTAGTTGGGACAAGAAGTTGGGTTGGGTTGTTGCAGAGAAAGCAGCTGGGATGGGATAAACTGGGCTGGACAGACTCTCACTCAGGTGCATGGTTCTGCCCTTCCCCACCTGCAAACCTGCCAGGCCCTGTTGCTGGAACAATAGGACTGCTAAACTCCTACATCTCAGCATGGCAGGGTCATGAACACCATTTGTCCCAAGTGTCTGGGACTCTTCTGACAAAAGTGGTGACAGAAGCAAAAGGAGTTAACAGATTATATAAAGAGTAGTGCCCAGGGTGGCTGGAAAGCTTTATCGAGTGATGGGAGGTATCCAGACAAGCAGAGAACAGCTCTCTGCATGGGGTGGAGGTGGAGGGTGATCTGCTCCCATGCTCCTCATTCTGGTAGGGGGAAAATAAGTCAGAAAAAGTACAGCCAATTGTGACATTTGCAGTGGGAGAAATCATACTACTCAACCTTCTCCCCTTGAAGAATATTAAAAACAGAAGAGGCCCCATATTGCATTACCCAAGCCCCTGAGCCCTCCTGTTGACATATCATTGCCTACACCTGGGATTAGGTTGATAACTATGTCACTCAAGGGTGTGGAAAATCCACGTGGACCTAACTCCCACTGCAGTCAACACTATGTCTTTGGGAGACCTAGTATCTGCCTCTCAGGGAGGTGGAGTACCTACATTGATGGTAAAAGCTCTCTTCACTAAGCAGAACAGTGCTGCAACTGTGGCATTTTAAGTGTAAACACACCCTAACTCCTGCTCATTTCAGTTCTCAGAGGGGAACAGTCCCATGACCCTTAATTTCACTCCCTCTCTGCATTATTGATTTCAGTCAGTGTTTGGGGCCAGCTCTCTAACTCTGAACTGTTATGGCATGCAGGTACAGCCTGGTATGTGGATCTGCCCTGCAGGAAGCACAGGAAGAAAAGGTACCTCAGGGGTTCCCTCTCTGAATTCTCATCTCTGCCATTCTCTAGGCACATAGCTTGGTCTAGAATCCTCACTCAGCATAATCCACTGCTGCTTGCTTCCAGCAGGGAACTGATGCTGGAGTAAAAGATTCTAGTTCCCGACTAGACACAAGCAAATGAGCACTTTCCCGCACCTTTCTTCACCCCTCTAGTCAATGGCTCTCCTTTTCACAAGCCAATGCCTACCCTTAGCACCAGGCTTAGGAAAACATCAACCTTTCATCCCAGGAACAGAACCCTCTCCCCCACCACCTCCAGAAGACAGGCTTTGACCTGCATCCCCCTTCTACAGCTGACTCCTGCTGTGGGGAGAAATGCCAACAGGGAGGAGAGGGGTGGGGAAAATGATGTGTGTGTGCGCGCGTACACACACACACACACACAGGGGAGACTAGTCATAAGGGGGCCACATAGAAGGGAACGTTAGAGCACAGAGAAAAAGAGGTTACCTAAATGACCTACCTACTGACTTTTTAAGTCCTGAAATGCAATACAGTATATCAGAGCAATGGTCCCTTGTGGTCTTGGAATTTGAGACTCTATTTAACTTTGTTAATTAGAGGCACATTCTGTACTCAGACAATACCGAAAGATGTTCTTGGCCAGTGAACTTTTCACTCCTGGCTCAGGGACTCTAAGGGCCAGATTTTCAAAAGTATTGAGCAGCTCCCATTGAGAGCAATGGAGAATCCTTCCCTCTCTGCTGGGAAAGGCAGGAGCTGCTGAGTACAGAGCTCTTTTGAAAATCTGCTCCACATTTTGATTGGTGAGAACTCTTGCAAGTCTAGCGCAAATAGACAGAGCCCTGCATGGACACAAAATTTGTATCCGCAACAGATCCACACTCCACAAACATGGTCTGTGGCTATCCCCAAATTTTCAGGGCTCTACAAGTAGAAATTGTAATTCAGCCATCTGCACAGAATGAGTCTGACACCCTTGAATTAATCATCAAGAAGTAGTAACATTAAGGCTTGATACTCAGCCACCATCCCAGTGCATCTGTATAGTCATCAGAGGTTACCTAATAGAACGTCACCTAATACATCATGAAACACTTCACTAGAACTTAACTCCAAGGCAGAATAACTCTGGTATTTAAATAGTGACAACTGTTTAGGACAGAAAGGAAGGGTGAAGCACATGCCCAAATGAAATTCTAGTGGGAATTTTAGGGAGGCAGAAAGGGATGGGCCCCAAGTGGGGATTTGTGAGGGAAGAGACACACATCTGGCTACGGGCGAGCTTAGAATGGGCCAGCAAAAAAAGGCACATAGGTTGTGTCTGGAGTGATCAACAAAGGGAATAATTTGAGCAAGGGGTTGTGCCAGCTCAGTCTCTTTTTAAGAGAGAATAGTAGATTAAGAATTAAAAAATAATTAAGGCGCTCAGGATTCCTCAACAGCTACAGACGGATTACACACACACACAAAGAGGGTAACTGACTGGGAAGTGTGAGGTAGGTTAAAATGTCTGAAGAAGTCCAATTCTACACCTCCTAGTAGGTAAGGATGACCCAGAGAGAGAAAGGAGCAATGCTTCAGCTGCTGCTGGGGAGGAGAAGACAGGCTGCTCCCCTCTGGAAGTGTCTGGCCTCCTGGGGTGAGGAGTCACATTAGTCCCAAGTGACCTCTTCAGCTCACAGGTCACCTGAATTCTGCTAACAGTGCCATGAATTCCCTGAACTGATTACATTTGGGGTGGGGAACAGAAGAAAGATCAAAGCCCAGAGACAGTAAGAACCACAAGAACAAAGAAATGGAAATGATTTTTGGTTTAAACATTTTGTTAATCGCTATTTGTTCTACGGTGCATACAGAGTCCCCATGTATGACAGCTGGTCTAGCACAGCCTTGTCTATTCCAGAAGAGAAAGGAAGGCAATGGTAGTAACTGAGTGGGCTGTTTAAAGTAGAAATGAGACTCTCATGTCCTAACACCAGAGTGGGAGCTGGCCTCATTTGCCTTTGACCTGAACTAGTTAAAAGAGATGTGAATGTGCTGCTGCTGGAGAGAGGCCCTTGGTACACACAGCGTGAAAGCTGTGCTGCAGTCCTCTCCTGGAAGAGCCACGGCTAGCACCCCGCTCGGTCCCCATGGCGTCTCTGCTGAGACATTCCATAGTGAACCCCGTCTGGGTTAGTCCCGCTGGTGTTCTCAGGGGTGTAGACACTCATCCTACCTGGAAATGGCAAGAAACCTACAACCCGTTCTACACAGGCCAATAGTAAAAATTTAACAAGACAAACATATCCCTTATCCTACCAGCTACTCGCCCTCCCAATACAAACCCCAGCCACTGGCCAGCTCTCCTTGCCCATCCCTAGTCCCAACCCACTAAAACAACCAATTCTCCCAAGAACCAACCCCTTCCCCTAATGATCCCTGCTAAAAAGCCATACCAGCTCCCTCCCACCCCACTAACCCCCAGAAAGCAGATCCCACAAGCTCCAATCTCCTCTAGCTACTGCCTCCTGCTGCTCTGATGGACTCTCCTTCCCTCCCCCAACCCCTAACATGCTTGAGTGGGGTACGGCCATAAAGGCAGGAAGGACACAGGGTTCTCTCCTGTGTGGGTTCTCTGATGCCTCTTGTGGTGGGAACTGCGGCTGAAGCTTTTCCCACAGTAAATGCACTCATAAGGCTTCTCTCCTGTGTGGATCCGGTGATGCTGGGTGAGGGTAGATTTGTCAGTGAAGCTTTTCCCGCAGTCAGAGCATGTGTAGGGCTTCTCTCCTGTGTGGATCCTCTGGTGTCTGATCAGGTTTGAACTGACATTGAAGCATTTCCCACAGTGACTGCACTCATAGGGTTTCTCTCCTGTGTGGATCCTCATATGTTTGACCAGGTCCGAGTTCTGGCTGAAGCTTTGCCAGCACTCGGCACACGTGATGGGGATCTCGATAGTCGAGGTTTTCTTCTTTGATGTTTTAGTTTTTTTAACCTTCCCAATGGCAGCGCTGTCCCGCTGGATGCATTTGTCCTGCCTTTTCCCTGGAGGGCTCCTCAGGCGCCTCTTATGGTGGGAGCTGCGGCTGAAGCTCTTCCCACAGTCGATACATTTATAGGGCTTCTCACCCATGTGGACGCACTGGTGCTGGGTCTGGGTCGACTTGTCTGTGAAGCTTTTCCCACAGTCAGAGCAGCTGTGGGGTCTGTCCCCTGTATGGGTTCTCTGGTGACGGATAAGGTTTGAATTGATGCTGAAGCTTTTCCCGCAGTCAATACATTTATAAGGTTTCTCCCCTGTGTGGATTCTCCGATGATTCATAAGGTCTGAGCTCTGGGTGAAGCTTTTCCCACATTCGATGCAGATGTTGGGCCTCTCCCCTGCATATGTTCTCTGGCGGACGATGGTGTCTTTGCGTTTCCTCACGCCTCTCCCACGGTGGGTGGACTTACCCTCTCTCTCCTCTGAAGGGTTTTGCTGCTGTGCTTCTGACCTGCCCTGACTCTTAAGGGATTTTCCCTGGTCCAAATTCTGAGACACGTTTCCTTTGGATCGTTTTGGAGACATCTCAGGCAGTTCCTCTCCAGCAAGGCTTTGAAGATTCGCCTATTTTGTTATCACTCACAGTCCTGACACCTGCTGGGATAAAGAGAGAATCCAGACACGAGTCATGCTCCAAGCATAGGCAGAAGGAAACAGGAATAATCAGTTGACAAATTATTTTAGAACTGAGAAGGCTCTTTAACCTCACAGGCAAAGGTGTAACAAATCCAATGGCTGGATGATGCAGGCAGCTGAGCTCAAAATGGAATTAAGGCATAATTTTTAATAACTTCCCAAGGGAGGTGGTAGACTTTCCATCATTTAAAAAGTTTTTAAAAAGATTGGATGCCTCTTTCTAAAAAAAGAAAAGAAAAATGTGCTCTCTAGCTCAGCCACACGTTATTGGGCTCAATGCAGTAATCACTGGGTGATCTTCCCTGACCTGTGCTATACAGCAGAGGTTCGGATCCAGGGTGCCTTGGAAGGGCCGTGAGCAGGTTTCAGGGGGTCCTCTAAAATAAACCAGAGAGCAAGGCCTGCCTGAAATTCACTGGGTCCCAAGGCAGAAAGCTGAAGCCCGAGCCCTGCCATGCAGGACTAAAGCCGAAGTCCGAGTAACTTAGCTTGGCGGGATCCCCTGTGGTGTGGGGCCCTGGTTGCTACCCCCTAATGTCAGGTCTGGCTTTTAATTTACTGGATATGCAGTAAAACAGTTGCTGTGGCACAGGTGGGCCGTGGAGTTTTTAATAGCAATTTGGGGGGAGGAGGGGGCTCAGAAAGAAAGATGTTGAGAACCCCTATTCTAAAGGAGGTCAGACTATGCCTTCCGGAGTAGCCACCTGAGCTCATAGTTGCCCTGGGTACCCCTTAATCCCTCAGATTTTCTGTTATGACTCTCACTGATGGCATGTATTAATTTAGGGACCAGTCCTACAACTATTCACTCATGTGAGTAACTATTCACAGAAGCACACCAAGGCCTCATTCCCCATAGCCTTATACTTGTCATTTACACCGGTGCAGATTAAGTGCAAAGTGGGGGAAAACACAATCATTTCAGATTAGCAGAGCAGAGGGTGAATGACACAAAATGCAAGGCAAGAGCACCCAGCCCTTAACTGGCAGCTCCTTAGGGCAGGGGGACATTTTTATTTGTTTCTGCAAAGAACCCAGCCCGCTCATCTGTGGGCAAGACTAATAACAATCAAAAGAGCCATTTTAGGGGTTTCCCCTGACATTATCCCCAAGTGCAGGGACTAAGCAGAGGCAACAACTGGCTTTTCCTCTCTCTGCTCTTCTAGTTAAAAAAAACCAAGAAAGTCAATTCTCAGATGGCTTTTGTATAAGGTAACCTAGGCTATGAATAAGAGTTTTTAAAAGGCAGGTTTACTAGCTGATGTATCAGTGACCACAGCACTTGGAGCTGGGTTGGGCAGGTTCGGGATCCGGGAACTCCCCTCCCCAGTTCGCTCTCCTGCTGCCCCTTTCTGGGCTTTCCTTCCCCCGCTGCCCTCCCCTCTGGCAGGGTCCAGCCCGGAGGCATTTCCTCCCCCACCGCTGGCCTGGCTCCTAATAGTGCGAACGGGAGCGAGCTGCCATGCGACGAGCGAGAAGCGCTGGGGGTGAGGAGGGGCCATCTGGGCAGAGCCAGCGCGGCTCGCTTTCTGCCGGGCCCTCGCACTTTCTCCAAGTTCCCTCTTGCAATTACCTGGAGTCTGCGGCTCAGAAGCTGATGTCGACAGAGCCCGAGGCTGCCCCAGGGGCTGGTTCCAGCCCCGGAGAAAGTCCCGCCAGCTGGGCACAGAAGGGCGGTAGGGAATGACTCTCCCCACACAGCAGCAGCAGCGGCGGCGGCGGCTCAGTCCGGCTCACAATGGAGGCAACAGCCCCAGCTCCTGACCCAGGAAGTTCAATCCCTTATATCCTGGTCAGACGAAAGCCAGAGAGACTCGGAGAATCCCCCTCCCCCTTCCTTAGCAGTAACCAGAGGCCAAACTAGCCTTCTGATGACAACAGCTGCTGAGGGCGGCCCGCTTTGCTGCTGCTGAGCACCGTGTTAATGCACGTTTGAACTGCAAATGGCTTTTCAGGTTTAAGACCCATCTGAGAAGGGATGCATGGGGCAGGTCTTGTCTTGGCTGCCCGCATATACTGGGATGTAACTGGAAGCTGGGGCTGGAAGAGTTGTGATGGTCACATCGAGCAGGGGGGAAAACTCCCAGGATGGGTGTAAAATTGATGGTGATGTGAAAATGTCCTCCGGCAGACAGACATGCACATTGTGTAGCCTGAGCTCACTGCAGTCACCAAGGGCTCCTTGCATCCCTCCATTTCCCCCACGAGCTCCCTGCAGGTCCCCCTTCCATCCCCCTCTATTGGCAGGGTGACCAGATAGCAAGTGTGAAATATTGGGGGGGGGGGGGGGTGTAATTGGTGCCTATATAAGAAAAAGCCCTGAATAACAGGACTGTCCCTATAAAACCAGGGCATCCAGTCACCCTATTGGTAAGCCAGAGGGCTCAGCAGTACCCCAGTTCCAGTTTGCACCCCAGGGATCCCGCTGTTGTAGAGTTGCTGGCAGACCAGGTCAATCCAGGGCCACAGGCCAATTCACTTGTGTATTAGTACAGATTGGGATAGCTCAGTGGTTTGAGCATTAGCCTGCTAAACCCAGGGTTGGGAGTTCAATCGTTGAAGGGGCCATTTGGGATCTGGGGCAAAAATTGGGGATTGGCCCTGCTTTGAGCAGGGGGTTGGACTAGATGACCTCCTGAGATCCCTTCCAACCCTGGTATTCTATGAAAGTATGGTTGGTGTTTACAATTCACAAATAACATCCCAATAGTTTTCATATTATTTTCACCTCTTTGTTCCTGTTATAATGAAATAGCAAACATTTACATTGTGCATACCCCTGTAAGTAAACAACAAAGAAATCTTGTGGGATGCTAATAAAGGACTTCAACAGAAAAGCAAGTGGTCATTATGGTGATAATTGGTGGCCAATGACTCAAACTGCATTCCTCACTCACCATCATCAAAGGAAAACTCTGTGTGTGTAGAGACTCCATCAGCTTGTTTTCGGTGAGAAGAAGCTATATGTATGGATTCCAGGAATGATCCTGCATCTCTGGACTGTATGGACTCTTACAGGGAAGGGCACCAGATGCAAAGCCAAGATTCCCAGATCTGGTTGTTCATTACATTACTGCTACCATTTGGACTTACAAACTGTGACTTTCCTGTACCTATATTTTACTACTTTAACCTCTCAATAATTCTCATTTCCTTTTCTTAGCTAATAAACCTACTACTAGGTTACTATAGAACTGGGTGCCAATGTTGTCTTTGGGGTGAGATCTGGAGGACCCATTGATCTGGGGTAAGTGGCTAGTCCCTTGGGACTGGAAGCAATCTGAGGTGGTGTAATTTTTGGTTTATGTGACTATTATCACTAAGTCCAGTCTGTCTAGGTGGCAAGATAGGCTGGAGAGTCTAAGGGGACTGTCTGTGACTCCATGATAAGACTGGTACAATGATCCAGGAGTTCACATTTGTTACTGGCTTGGTGAAATCTAATTATAGAACACAGCTCCAGTTTGGGATGTCTGCCCGGTTTTCTGACAGTCTGCCCTGAGATTAGCACTCACAGTTGTGAGCCACTCCAGACAGTGTGACAATTGTTTTCTTGTGCTCCCTCATCTATCTGTTCCCCTCTGTTGTCTCTTGGCAAGAACTGTCTTTTTGTTCTATGTGTGTATAGTGCCTAGCACCATGGGGTGCTGGTCCATGACTAGGGCTCCTACTTGTTATGGCAATACAAATAATAAATAATAACTATAGATTATTACAGGGATGGTTGGAGCTGCTGGCTCTGTTCACTGGATGCCGGGGCTCCATGTGCTTCCCATTCCCCACTTTCAGTTTTCCTGATTGTCACCAAAATCAACAGGGTTCTGTCCACTGCTGCCTAGAACACACCCTGAAATGTGGAACTGATTGGATGTGGTGCTGAGAAGTTAGGACCTTACATCCAAACGGAGAAATGACATCCAATTGAATGTAGGACCTGGCTTCACACAACCAATGAAACTCCCTCCCTAGCTCCCCACAGGAGGGATCAAGTATCCTTGTCTCTTTCCTGAAAAGTAGGAATGAACCAGAGACCTTGCAGGGCTCTGGGCAGCCCTTGGGGCCAGGTACCCATCATCTCTGGGGCTCTTTTATTAGGGGAATCCCTGGGACAATCTCAGATACCCACAGAATCTCCCCTTCCCCGGACTCATGGAATCTCCTCATCTCCATGCTCACCTGCTACCTTCAAGGAGTGGGGAGGGGCAGCCATACTGTGCAGACACCTCCTTAAAGAGCCTCCCCTAGGCAGGACATCTGAGCAGTAACATCTGCAGAGGACAGGTAACCTTCCTGTGCCACTCTAGGGTCTCCACCTGCTTTTATGGCTCCTAGCGCTGTCATATCTGAGCACTTCATGAACATTAATGGATTTATGCACACAACCCCCAGCCAGGCTTATTTCCCCCATTTGGGGAAACTGAGGCACAGAGGGGTTGGTTTTGGGTGGGGGAAGAGCTCCGTACCTTAGCAGCTCCCCTTGAGAGATGTGCAGAGTGCTTTAGGGACTCTGTCATCATTTGTCCAGCACCAGTGCAGTTCCCTGAAAATTAGGCCTAAGGCAGGTTGTCACACTCAGGACAAAGTCGCTTCATCCGGGGTGAAGTGTCTTGGGTGAGTTGCTGCTGATGCCCCCAATGACTTCCCCATGTGAGAGTCTGGCGATCACCCTGGTGATATGGGTACCATATTCAAGTCAAATAAATCTGTGCTAAGGACTCGCCTGTAAATGGAGAGACTCCCCACCACCTCTGCAAGCTGCAGGCTAGGAATAGAGAGCACAGGGAACGTCACCCGAACTTCACTGTCTGAGAGTCCTCAAACATTTATGAACACAAACCAAACCTTAATTTAATGACAGCTAACGACACATCCCACCACACAAAAAATGTAACCACATGGGAATGAGAAGGAAAGCCTCCTGCAGTGCTGTCAATAACTTACACCCCCGTGCAAAACCACTCTCACGTCAGCAGATCGGCGCACAGTCTTGGACTGGACTGAAAAAAGTGTGTGGTGGCGGGGCAGGTCTATCATAATGTGGAAGCAGCGGCTTTGGTAAGACAGTGCTGAAAGTGCACCCCTCAGCAATTCGTCTTGGTTTAACTTTCGTTGTGTTTTTGGGCCAGGTCTGACTCCTTGCAACTCCTCCATTTTAAGCCCTGTAGGCACATGTGACTGGCACATAGCCCACACACGTAACATTATTCTATTTTAACATCTTAGAGGCTACCATTAAGGTTTCACATGAGATCACAAGTTGGATGAAGCTGGGGTGCATGTGGTTTCTCAGTATGTCTTGGAGACGGAAGTGAATGCCTTGTGGAGTGTCTCTTCGTGCCTAGCACCTGCACACAGGCCATCCCTACACCTAGGTGATTCTCTGAGTGCTGCCTCCCAGCCTCCCATTGCAGTGTCCCAGGCAAATCCAGCTGCAGTTTAGAGCTGGGGTACTTGTAGAATATGAGCTGTACAGTGCCCATATCTGGGGATTTCAACAACCCACTTAGTGCCCAAGGCAGAGAGCAAAGAGAAAGCAGCAAGCCTGGAGCATGCAGTATCAATAGGGAAGCATAAACTTCAGTCTCTTCTGAATAATGCCAATACTCAGCTCTTAAATACCTCTCTCAACATGCCTTAGAAAGGAGGTGAGCGTCCACTTTATAGATGGGGACATGACTTGCCATAAGTCACCCAGCAGCCCTATAGCAGAGCCAAGACTAGAACTCTTGCTTCCTGAGTCCTAGTCCAGCATACTACACAATAGGCCCCATTGTTCTGAGAAGATGATGGCAGTCAACTGGCGTTGCTTGTATACAGCAGCTGAGTAATAATAACCCCACTGAGAGCTATATAAACACTTTCCATCCACTGCTCTAACAGCTCTTTACACAGGTGGCTAGGGGGTCACAGATGGGGAAAAATGAAGCCCAGGACTCATAAGCAAGTCAGTCAGTACCAAGCCAGGCCTTGCACTCAAGGCTTTTGACACTTCATTCAGGGACTTCACAACTACTGTAAAGTTCTCGGGCATGCTTTGCTCTCCATCTCTGACAAATTACATCACTGCAGAACAGAGACTTCATTATTATTATTATTATAAAGGTTTTTACAGCTGTTAAAGCCAGAAGGACCCTTGTTACCATCTAATCTGAACTTCTGCATTACACAAGCAACAGAACTTCACCCAGTGATTCCTGCATCCAGCACAGTTGCTTTTTGGTTGATTTTAGTCTTCCCCTGCATGAAAGCAAGAGTCCATTTAACAGAGAACCAACAACTTTAACAAAATTCAGGAAATTAAATAAACAACAACAAAGAACATTTTGAAACGCTCTACAGAAGATAAGAACCATGCCCTAAAAGACCTAACAAGCTGAAAAGATGATGGGCAGAGATAGGATGAAGCTTGAGATCTGCTGAAAAGCTAGTGTGATCTACCAATGGCATTTAGCACCTGTTGTATGAGTCCCACTATTTAAAACATCTTATTAGCCCTGATCCTTGGCTTCCATGTTCAGTGCAACTCAGGAGGGAGGTGAAAAGGTGTATTTAAGCAATCTTTTATTTTCCCCCCATCCTAGGAGCACTTGACCCCAGATACAGGTTAGACCAGCCTGACTTGTATGGGTTGCCAGTGCCCCCAAAGGGCCAGTACAGCAGCCAGAGGCTGGCAGGGTATGGTGTAGCCATGTCTCTGCACCACCCACAGAGAGGGTAGGTGGTATAGGAGCTGCTTCTCTGCCTCCGCACAAGCCAATGCTATGTTAAGCTGGCTTTAGGACATCTTTGTGCTGGCAGAGTTGGCACCAATTTGCCCCAAACCAGGGGAAAACCTGCTCCAGTTGCGTGCTCTGGAGTTGATGGGCCCCTTGGGAAAAGTCTTTTAATGAGAGGCTCGAGGGATGACTCAGAGATAAATGGAAACTGTGAGCCTCAGGGTGTCAGGGTCTCCAGACCTCAAACACTGGGCAATGCGCCATGCACAACATGCACTGAGAGGCCAATGCTGTGGGCTCCTCAGTTACCTGGCTGCAGTCCCTCTGGGTTCCCAATAAACACACAGACACACACACATACAGTAACCAAAGCTTCTTTACTAGGGCAGGCAGAAAATGGAAAGAGTGCAGACAGCCCCGATACAGAGCTCCTACAGAAATCACCTGGCCACATCCTCAGCTAGTGTAAATCGACATTGCTCTATTGGTGTCAGAGCTACACTGATTTACACCAGCTGAGTTTCTGGCCAGATTGTGTAATTACAGTGTTTCTTCTTGCCCAGGTGGACAGGCAAATAAACATGTTAGGGGCCCATACTCTAGCCTAGGCATGTTCCAGGCTTCAAGCTGGGCTCATTAACAGGGTTAGAACTTCAGTTTTGAGGCCTCCCACATGCAAGGAAAAACAGTTATAGACACTAGGCCCCATCTACACAACAGTTATCACTCAGGTCCTGGTTACAGCACAGATTCCGCTCACCTGACTTTAACATGGTCATAAGGTCTCTAGTTATGTCCTTGTACACAGCCTGAAGCCTGAGCTTTTAACCCATTTAGGGAAGACTGGATTAGGTTCCATCTTCATTACAACCTATGTCTGTATTGTCGCTGGGTCGCTTGAGTTAGGGATGTTACTGTGGGGCGAAGACCAAATGTGATTCCAAGCTGCGTTTAGACATGGGGCCCTGTGAGTTAGTTACAGACAGGAAACACAGAGGAATCCTTCACTGGGCCATCCAATCAGATCCTGAGCAATACTTGCCCCTTGGGTCTCCACTGATACATGAGAAGTGTCCCTCCAAATCCACCCCAGCACAGGAGATCAGCCTGATGTCTGGCTTTGCTTCTGTGCCAGCTGGGCACCTCTCCTCCTGTAGCTCTGCAGGCCCCCACCCAGCTGGTACCTCCTGGAGACCTGCTGGGACACAACACACCCATGCCCAGATCTCCCTGGCTCTGGGGGTGTTTCATTGACTGGACAGCTCGGATTCACAGCTTTCTCTTTTACCTCTGTACATTCTCTCAGGGACTCTCCTGGGTCCTCTTCAATCCAGTGACTGGACAGAGGGAAAAGAGAGAGAAGAAGATGAGGAGACCACCAGGGAAAGAGAAAATAAGGTCCAGTCTTTTCTAATCATTAATAATGTGCATTACCAAGACAGCCCATCTGAGATTGGAGCCCCATCACGCCCGATGCCATACTGACACCTGGTGAGATCCAGTCCCTGCCTGATTCAGCCCAAACAGCATAGTCTTTCTCCAGGCAGCTCTGTTCAGTGACAGACTGGGACAAGGTCACTGAATGAATAACAAGAGACCAAAGACGCAGGCTTTCTGAGGGCCCTTTCCAATACCTCAAAGGATCCACAGCCTCCTGTTCTGGTTCCCAGACCTATCTTCAGGCCTCACATAAGCCCCCAAAGGGAAACTCGCAGCTGGTGTTGATCACAGGTGGATCCTCTGATGTCTAATCAGAGCAGAACTCACAGTGAAGCTTTTCCCGCAGTCGGTGCATTTGTAGGGTTTCTCTCCGGTGTGGGTCCTCAGATGATTGATGAGGGATGAGCTCTGCTTGAAGCTCTTCCTGCAGTCAGGGCATTTGTAGGGCTTCTCTCCAGTGTGGATCCTCTGGTGCTTGATAAGGGATGAGCTCTCGAAGAAGCTTTTCCCACACTCGGTGCATTTGTAGGGCATCTCTCCAGTGTGGCTCCTCTGGTGCCTGATAAGGGCCGAGCTCTCAAAGAAGGTTTTCCCACACTCGGTGCATTTGTAGGGTTTCTCTCCTGTGTGGGTTCTCTGGTGTCTAATGAAGGAGGAGCAGTAGCTGAAACTTTTCCCACACTCGGTGCAATTGTAGGGGCCCTCTCCCATGTGGGCCCTCTGATGAGTGTTAAGGTTCGAGCTCCGATTGAAGCTTTTCCCGCAGTCGAGGCATTTATAGGGTCTCTCTCCTGTGTGAATTCTCTGGTGAACAATAAGGTCTGAGCTCCAACTGAAGCTTTTTCCACATTTTGTACACTTGTAGGGCTTCTCTCCCACGTGCAGCCGCTGATGTTTCATCAGGTGTGAGCTTTGGCTGAAGCTTTTCCCACACTCAGTGCATTTATAGGGCTTATCTCCTGTGTGGATCCTCTGATGCGCATTACGGTTTGAGCTTCGTGTGAAACTTTTCCCACAGTCGAGGCATTTGTAGGGTTTCTCTCCCGTGTGCAATCTCTGATGGATTAGCAGCTCTGACCTCCAAGAAAAGGTTTTCTCACACTCAGTGCATGTTTTCTGGGTTTCTGACTTATCTGTTCTCCGGTTGATGCTGATATTGTTGAATTCCTTAAAACCTTCTCCTGGGTGAGTGGATATCCCTAGTCTCTCATCTGGGTGGTTTTCCTGCTGCCTCTCCAGTCCACACTGACTCTCACAGGTTTCTCCAAGTTCAGGGCTCTGGAAAATGTTCTCTTCAGCTCTTCCCAGCAACATCATGTCCAATTCCACCATCTCAGGACTTTCCTGCTCCAGATTCTCCTCCTCATGCTCACTCCCCATCCCATCATCTGCTGGGTCAGAGAGAGAATCCAGACAGGAGTCACTCCCTGTGCCCAGGGGAAAGGGAACCATTGAAAGGGGAGATGGGTACAACAGAAGGGCTAAGTGCTGAGGGTGAGATCCACCAAGGTACTTAGGTGCCTAAACCCCAGACTTAGGCCCCCAAATCTTGGGTTTAGCCACCTAGGTCCCTGTTTTGGCTCCACTCCAGTCGCCTAACCTCACTTGACACTGAAGTTTTTTAAAATGAAAGTTCCCTGGGTGCCTATGTTCCTGCCTCTGGCCATGTGCACGGCTGCCTCATTCTAGGCATCTGGACGCCCATCTCCCACCGAAGCCCCAGAGTGATCAATGAACCAGGGGAAGACAGGTGTTCAGCCGCCTACATGTATGCAGTGCCCAATCCAGCAGGTGGCCCCCAAGATCAGGTCCCATTCAAAATCCAGCCAGCAGAGGAGGTGGCAGTAATACCTACTTTATAGCTTTTAGCTCAAAGGTTAGAGCACTCAGCTGGGATGTGGGAGACTCCAGTTCAATTCCCCACACCCAAAGGGGAGAAAGACCCCCTGTTCAAATCCTCCCACCTTTCAGGAGGGTGCTCCAGCTACTCAGCTCTGGGATATTCTGATTGGCAGTGGCAGGAGGTGCTCTTTCCATCTCTCCCGTTGGAGCTGCTGCACTCCGGATAAATGATGAAAGAGTTACTGGAGCAAGGGCACTGGACCCAGAGTCTCCCAGGTGGATGCACTGACCACAGACATAGACCTGTTTGTGTGTGCTCTCGTCCTCTCGTTCCCTCCCCAACGATTAAGTGTTTATCCACAGTGGAATAGTCATTGGGCCAGAGAGAAAGAATGACTCTATAGTCCAGAGGTTAGGGCACTGAGATGGGAGACCCGGGCTCCAGCCCCCTTGCTCCAGCCACTCTTCAGCCAGCTTCACCACGAGAGGCGAAGGAAGTCCCACCTCCAACTATCCCATAGCTCAGTGGTAAACACACCCTCCTGAGATGTGGGAGACCCCTGTGCAAATCCTTTCACCCTCTCTGGCAGAGGGGGAACTGAACCTCCATCTTCCACATCCCAGGGAAGTTCTCTAATCATTGGGCTACAGGTGGAGGTTTTGTGTAGAGTGAGATAAGCACCTACCTCATTCCCCCAAGAAACAGCTTAGGCCCCTGAGCCACCTGATTCCAGGAGAGGGATTCCCACTGGTGTATCACTAAGCAGAGCTAGGCACCTCCCAGCAGCCTGGACTCTTATCTCTGAGAGAGGGGCAGGGCTTAGCACATGCCCCTCTGGTCAGCATCTCGCATTGGCTAGCTCAGCTGAGGTGTTAGAGTTTGTGGATCCCATTCTTAGGCACTTATCTCAACCCATTCATTGCACAGGGAAACTCAGCGCCTAACTCAGGCTTTGTGAATCGCAATACTGTTCCTGCAATTTACTAGCTGCCTAAAAGTTAGGCCCTGTGATGCCCAGCATTGCAATGCCTAAGTCCTTTCACGGATCCCAACCTGAATCCCCCCAAGCCCTTTCCCAGAGGAGAGAAAGAAGATGACCAATCCTGCCTCCACAATCCATCTGAACACTCAGGAAAGAGAGCTATTGCCAGATGTCAGTCAGGCTGGGTGGGAGGCCGTGAGTGATGTCTGCTATGAGGGCATAGGACACCTGCTGGGGACAATCCTGACCCGAGGTAGAACTGGGGAGCTCACGGGGTCTTTGTAGGAATCTTGTTAGCACAATTTGCAAATGGTTTCTTACTTGGTTTAATACTGACCCCTCACCTGTGGGGGCTACTCTCAGGATCTCCCATTCCTTAGCGGCGTGGGGATCTGGGACACCCAGCTCTTCCACTGTTTCCATCCGAGAGATCACGTTGGGTTTAGGAATCGGAAAGTCTACTCAGAGAAAGGAAAGAGGAGAAATCAGAGTTTGTCACATACTCATTAAATAGATGCTACTAAAAAGCTCCATAATTTCAATCAAGTTCCTTCCCTTGCTGGTGGTGAACTTGGGTAAACCTGTAACAGAGGGGGAAATGCTCTTGGAGACCCTTTGGGACAGTCAGAGGTCTGGTGAGCAGCATTCATCCAGAACACTGAATGAGGCAGGATCCTGCGCAAAAAACTCTGTGATCATGCATAAGAGGGCTGAACCTAATCCTGGCATTTCCTAACTTTTGAGTGCTTGATTTTGCAATCTTAATAATACAACATTCTTTTGACATATTTTTGTATGATATAGGCTTTTTTTGTAATAAAAAAAAATCAAAGCAATTCCATCTTTTGCAACCATAGTGGTAATTTTCTGCAGCTGATAACTTTTTGTCAAATCTGGCTGCATTTTCATGGAGACAGTGAAAAGCATCTCTCCAACCTTACGGCCATCCCCTCTAAGCATAGGAGATTTGAGTCTGAACAGTTAGTTTGTTAAAGTTATCTTACAACTGAAGATGGAAAGTTATAACAGAAAATGTTAGGCAACTTTAATAGGGCTTGTCTTCCCTCAGGCAAAAAGTGTGGTCTTCACTCGAGTTAGGCACAAGATAAAACAAGATAAAACGAGTGAAGACAAGGCAGGCTGTAGTTTTCACAGGACTTAGTAGCTCAAGGCTGCCGTTAAGCTCCCCCATAGACTTTAACTCAGGGTAAGAACACACCTTTTTCCTAGTGAAGGTGCACCCGCAGGGGTCACTATCACTCCATCCAGAAGGATGATGAGCCCATATGGAGGCAGTGTGGGCCAATCGATTGGACATTAGCCTATGACTATCTACACAACGAGCTCGGGGTGTGATTCCCCTGCTTGTGGACGCATCCTTGTGCTAGCTCTCGTTGAGCTAGTGCCAGTATAAATAGCAGTGTAGCCACAGTAGCCTAGGTAGTGGCAGCGGAGGCATGGATATAGACCCACCGGTTTGTAAGTGGCAGGGCTCAGCCATGTTTCTGCTGCTGCTATGGTGGCTACTTAGACTCACCCTGGCTCAAAGAGAACTAGCAGGAGTACGTGTACACAGACAGGAGAACCACACCCCTAGCTTGTCATGCAGACATAGGCTATGATGCAGAAGACCTGAGTTCTATTCAGAGCCCTGCGAATGATGTGGCCTGTTTCTAGGGCAAGTCACTTGCCCTCTAGGTGCTTCTGTTTCCCCCTCACGCTTTGAGTGTCTTTACAGTCAGACTGTGAGCTCTTCAGAGCAGTGTCTGCCTCTCCCTATGTGCTTGCTGGGCCCTGTTCTTGGTGCTGACTCAAGCACTTCAGAGATCTCCCCATTCTTCTGAGAAGAAAGGAATCCTTACCCAGCAATATCAGGGACTCATAGTTCTCCTGCATGTCGTCTCTCTGACCTGGGTCCAGAAGTTCCCACTGCCCCTGGGTGAAATACAGAGCCACCTCCTTGAAGGTCACCAGCCCCTGAAACAGCAAGTATCTCCTGCATTAGATCTATCCCACCTACTCAGACATAGGAACAGCAAGCTGGCAGCTCTGCTCGCTTTGATTAGGGATCAGGTTGTTTTCCCTGTTCTAGCAGAGCTCTTTGTCCAGCATTGGACGACTGACTCTGTGATGCTTTCCTGTTGTCGCATGAGTGAAACCCCCAGTGTCTCCCTGGTGAATGCACACACCTCTTGAAGGAACCTGAACCAGGCAATGTCAACCTGCCGTGCCAGCGACAATTCCACAGTTCTGCTTCCTTATTTCTTCCCCTGTGTGGCCTCCTCCAGACTCTCAGTCCTCACCCCTTCTGCCTCCTTGCTCCCGGGAGCAGAGGGGACCCTCTTTCGGGCTCAGCAGGGCTAAGAGGTACAGCCAGAAAAGCCCTGGTGATGTTCGCACACTATCCACTCTCCCAGGGCCAGGAATGGTTCCCACGGGCCCTGCGCATCGGGCAATTTATTTTCCCTGGATTTTTGATCTGTCTCCTCTTCGTTTTCCACCCCAGCTCCCTGCAGGGACTGGAATAGATCTGTCAGTGAATGAAGCTGGGCAGGGCTGGGAACAGGGAATCTCCCTCCCCACTTATTACTCCTGCTGCCCCTTCCAGTCTCTCCCCCTGCGCTCGGGCTGGGAGACTCGGTCCCTGGCCCGGCCCCTCTCCCGGCGCTGGCTCGGTTCCTGCGGGCACTCAGGGGAGCAGAGCCTGGGGGGGGGCAGCAGCTCCGGGACTCGCAGACCCCCGCCCCCGGGAGCAGAGCTGGGGCGAGGAGGGGCCGTTGGTGCAGAGTCACTTTCCTGCCCGGCCCCGGCCCCGGCCCCGGCCCTTTCCCCGGGTTTCTCCCTCACCTGCAGTCTCTGTCTCAGGAGAAAGTCCCCCCGGCTGTGCACAGAGGGACACTAGCGAAGGGCTTTCCCCGCATACACCCCGCTAGGGAGCCGCAGCGGCTCAGCCCGGGCTCCCGGATGCACCAGCGACTGCCTCTGACCCAGGAAGTTCATTCTCCAAAATGCTAAGCCCAAATGAGGCTGAGAGAAGGAAAGACAAAAAGCGGCTTCTCCTCCCTTCCCAGTGATCAGAGCCCTCTAGTGTGGGGGTGTCCGCCTCCCTGAGCAGCCTCTGGATATGGGCGGGCGACTCACACAAACTCCAGATCAGTGTCAGAGGGGCGGCTGGCTGAGGTATGTGTATGGAGTGTAAGGGTATGTCTACACTACGAAATTAGGTCGAATTGATAGAAGTCGTTTTTTTAGAATCGTTTTTATATATTGGAGTGCGTGTGTCCCCACAGAAAATGCTCTAAGTGCATTAACTTGGCAGAGTGCTTCCACAGTACCAAGGCAAGCGTGGACTTCCGGAGTGTTGTATTGTGGGTAGCTATCCCACAGTTCCCGCAGTCTCTTCTGCCCATTGGAATACTGGGTTGAGATCCCAATGCCTGATAGAGCTAAAACATTGTCGCGGGTGGCTCTGGGTACATATCGTCAGGCCCCCGTTCCCTCCCTCCCTCCGTGAAAGTAGCAGCAGACAATCGTTTCGCGCCTTTTTTCTTGAGTTACCTGTGCAGACGCCATACCACGGCAAGCATGGAGCCCACTCAGGTAACCGTCACCATATGTCTCCTGGGTGCTGGCAGACATGGTACTGCATTGCTACACAACAGTAGCAACCCATTGCCTTGTGGCAGTAAATGGTACAATAGGACTGATAGCTGTCATCATGTCTGAGGTGCTCCTGGCCAGACATGGGTGCAGGAACTACATTAGAAGTGACTTGACCAGGTCATTCTCTTTAGTCCTGCAGTCAGTCCTATTGAACCATCTTATGGTGAGCAGGTAGATGATACGGATTGCTAGCAGTCCTATTGTACCATCTACTGCCAGGCAGACAAGAGATGAGGATGGCTTGCAGTCCTTCTTCACCATCTGCTGCTAACCAAAGATGTAAAAGATAGATGGAGTAGATCAAAACAAGAAATAGACCAGATTTGTTTTGTACTCATTTGCTTCCCCCCCACCCCCAGTCTAGGGGACTCATTCCTCTAGGTCACACTGCAGTCACTCACAGAGAAGGTGCAGTGAGGTAAATCTAGCCATGTATCAATAAGAGGCCAGACCAACCTGCTTCTTCCAATAACAACAATTACTTAGGTGCACCGTTTCTCATTGGAACCCTTCCTGAAATACTCCTTGATGTAAATCCACCCCCTTTGTTGATTTTAATTCCCTGTAAGCCATGTCGTCAGTTGCCCCTCCCTCCGTCAGAGCAATGGCAGACAATCGTTCTGCACCTTTTTTCTGTAAGGACACCATACCAAGGAAAGCATGGAGGCTGCTCAGCTCACTTTGGCAATTAGGAGCACATTAAACACCACACGCATTATCCAGCAGTATATGCAGCACCAGAACCTGGCAGAGCGATACCGGGCAAGGAGGCGACGTCAGCGCGGTCACGAGAGCGATCAGGACATGGACACAGATTTCTCTGAAAGCATGGGCCCTGCCAATGCATGCATCATGGTGCTAATGGGGCAGGTTCATGGAGTGGAACCCCGATTCTAGGCTCAGGAAACAAGCACAGACTGGTGGGACCGCATAGTGTTGCAGGTCTGGGACGATTCCCAGTGGCTGCGAAACTTTTGCATGCGTAAGGGCACTTTCATGGAACTTTGTGACTTGCTTTCCCCTGCCCTAAAGTGCATGAATACCAAGATGAGAGCAGCCCTCACAGTTGAAAAGCTAGTGGTGATAGCCCTGGGGAAGCTTGCAACTCCAGACAGCTACCGGTCACTCGGGAATCAATTTGAAGTGGGCAAATCTACTGTGGGGGCTGCTGTGATGCAAGTAGCCCACGCAATCAAAGATCTGCTGATATCAAGGGTAGTGACCCTGGGAAATGTGCAGGTCATAGTGGATGGCTTTGCTGCAATGTGATTCCCTAACTGTGGTGGGGCCATAGACGGAACCCATATCCCTATCTCGGCACCGGAGCACCAAGCCGGCGAGTACATAAACCACAAGGGGTACTATTTGATAGTGCTGCAAGCTCTGGTGGATCACAAGGCACGTTTCACCAACATCAACGTGGGATGGCCGGGAAAGGTACATGACACTCGCATCTTCAGGAACTCTGGTCTGTTTCAAAAGCTGCAGGAAGGGACTTTATTCCCAGACCAGAAAATAACTGTTGGGGATGTTGAAATGCCTATATGTATCCTTGGGGACCCAGCCTACCTCTTAATGCCATGGCTCATGAAGCTGTACACAGGCAGCCTGGACAGTAGTCAGGAGCTGTTCAACTACAGGCTGAGCAAGTGCAGAATGGTGGTAGAATGTGCATTTGGACGTTTAAAGGCGCGCTTGTGCAGTTTACTGACTCGCTTAGACCTCAGGAAAACCAATATTCCCACTGTTATTACTGCTTGCTGTGAGCTCCACAATATCTGTGAGAGTAAGGGGGAGACGTTTATGGCGGGGTGGGAGGTTGAGGCAAATCGCCTGTCTGCTGGTTATGCGCAGCCAGACACCAGGGCAGTTAGAAGAGCACAGGAGGGCACGGTATGCATCAGAGAAGCTTTGAAAACCAGTTTCATGACTGGCCAGGCTATGGTGTGAAAGTTCTGTTTGTTTCTCCTTGATGAACCCCCCCACCCCCTTGGTTCACTCTACTTCCCTGTAAGCTAACCACCCTCCCCTCCTCCCTTTGATCACCGCTTGCAGAGGCAATAAAGTCATTGTTGCTTCACATTCATGCATTCTTTATTCATTCATCACACAAATAGGGGGATGACTACCAAGGTAGCCCAGGAGGGGTGGTGGAGGAGGGAAGGAAAATGCCACACAGCACTTTAAAAGTTTACAACTTTAAAATTTATTGAATGCCAGCCTTCTGTTTTTTGGGCAATCCTCTGTGGTGGAGTGGCTGGTTGGCTGGAGGCCCCCCCACCGCGTTCTTGGGCGTCTGGGTGTGGAGGCTATGGAACTTGGGGAGGAGGGTGGTTGGTTACACAGGGGCTGTAGCGGCAGTCTGTGTTCCAGTTGCCTTTGCTGCAGCTCAACCATACACTGGAGCATATTGGTTTGATCCTCCAGCAGCCTCAGCATTGAATCCTGCCTCCTCTCATCACGCTGCCGCCACATTTGAGCTTCAGCCCTGTCTTCAGCCCGCCACTTACTCTCTTCAGCCCGCCACCTCTCCTCCCGGTCATTTTGTGCTTTCCTGCACTCTGACATTATTTGCCTCCACGCATTCGTCTGTGCTCTGTCAGTGTGGGAGGACAGCATGAGCTCAGAGAACATTTCATCACGAGTTTGTTTTTTTTTCTTTCTAATCTTCACTAGCCTCTGGGAAGGAGAAGATCCTGTGATCATTGAAACACATGCAGGTGGTGGAGAAAAAAAAAGGGACAGCAGTATTTAAAAAGACACATTTTATAAAACAGTGGCTACAGTCTTTCAGGGTAAACCTTGCTGTTAACATTACATACATAGCACATGTGCTTTCGTTACAAGGTCGCATTTTGCATCCCCCCACCACGTGGCTACCCCCTCAACCCTCCCCCCTCCCCGTGGCTAACAGCGGGGAACATTTCTGTTCAGCCACAGGCAAACAGCCCAGCAGGAACGGGCTCCTCTGAGTGTCCTCTGAAGAAAAGCACTCTATTTCAACCAGGAGACCATGAATGATATCTCACTCTCCTGAGGATAACACAGAGAGATAAAGAACGGATGTTGTTTCAACGCCAGCAAACATACACTGCAATGCTTTGTTGTACAATGATTCCTGAGTATGTGCTACTGGCCTGGAGTGGTAAAGTGTCCTACCATGGGGGACGCAATAAGGCTGCCCTCCTCAGAAACCTTTTGCAAAGGCTTTGGGAGTATATCCAGGAGAGCCGCGAATGCCAGGACAAATTAATCCTTTCACATGCTTACTTTTAAACCATGTATAGTATTTTAAAATACCTTCTCCCTTCTCTGCCTGCCGCGTCCAGGAGGCAGCCTTGGGTGGGTTCGGGGGGTACTGGCTCCAGGTCTAGGGTGAGAAACAGTTCCTGGCTGTCGGGAAAACCGGTTTCTCCGCATGCTTGCTGTGAGCTATCTACAACCTCATCATCATCATCTTCTTCGTCCTCAAAACCTGCTTCTGTGTTGCCTCCATCTCCATTGAAGGAGTCAAACAACACGGCTGGGGTAGTGGTGGCTGAACTCCCTAAAATGGCATTCAGCTCATCGTAGAAGCGGCATGTTTGGGGCTCTGACCCGGAGTGGCCGTTCGCCTCTCTGGTTTTCTGGTAGGCTTGCCTCAGCTCCTTAAGTTTCACGCGGCACTGCTTTGGGTCTCTGTTATGGCCTCTGTCCTTCATGCCCTGGGAGATTTTGACAAAGGTTTTGGCATTTCAAAAACTGGAACGGAGTTCTGATAGCACGGATTCCTCTCCCCAACAGCGATCAGATCTTGTACCTCCTGTTCAGTCCATGCTGGAGCTCTTTTGCGATTCTGGGACTCCATCATGGTCACCTCTGCTGGTGAGCTCTGCATGGTCACCTGCAGCTTGCCACGCTGGCCAAACAGGAAATGAGATTCAAAAGTTCGCGGTTCTTTTCCTGTCTACCTGGCCAGTGCATCTGAGTTGAGTGTGCTGTCCAGAGCGGTCACAATGGAGCACTCTGGGATAGCTCCCGGAGGCCAATACCGTCAAATTGTGTCCACAGTACCCCAAATTCGACCCGGCAAGGCCGATTTAAGTGCTAATCCAGGGGTGGAGTAAGGAAATCTATTTTAAGAGCCGTTTAAGTCGAAAAAAGAGCTTCATCGTGTGGACGGGTGCAGGTTTACATCGATTTAACGCTGCTAAATTCGACCTAAAGTCCTAGTGTAGA